AGAAACGCAAGGGTTTTGGAATTCAGAACCTCTGCGGGTGGAAGCTGCTTTACTCAGGTTTCGATATCACGGCGCGGGCTTTGGCCGGTGATGGTGTTCTGGTAGAACCGAATTTCGCAGATGGAAGCGAAGGATTCACTGGAAGCGTGTTTGCGCAAAGGTGGCAATCCTCCGACTGAAGCTACAACAGGCCAAAGCGTTGATCTTGATACAGGTCTATGCGCGAAACTTCGAGGGAGAATATGACTTGTTCGTATACGAATACAGAGCCTCTCATACTCGTGGGCGATTTCAATGTGCAAGTTGGAGTAGACGCTGAAAAGTGAAAATACGTGGTTGGAAAGAATGGCCCTTACGGCTTCGATAATAACCGCATGAAGTTGATGCGACCGACTGTCCATTATGAACGCCTTCTTCGAGCATCGAAGAGTGCATCAGTAAACCTAGTACAGTGATGGTTGTGCACAGAAGTCGATGATCGATTTGATAATGGTATCGTTTGACTTAAGACCCTCAGTAATGGATGTTCGCGTTAAGAGAGGCGCAGGGCTGTCAATCGATTACCGCCTTGCTGTTGGCACCCTGTACTATAGTCGATGGAATACAATGCAAGGCCTTACGACAGAAACAAATAGAGAACTTGGATACATTAACTTTCGTGGATACGAGGGAAAACCCTGAAAGCAACACCGCATGACGGTTTCAAGAAATCCCAGTGATGACTACGGAGTTGAAGCTCTTTAATAGCCGATTACTCAAGGCTGCCGCCGAATGCTGTGGTTTAAAAGGGTTGACCTGCGGCTTCGTGGTCAGAAACGAGCTAATTGATGAAGAAAAGAGGTGCAACTGGCAGAAGGCTTCGTTCAAGAGATGGCTTAGAAGCTAAGAGCCTTCAACTCGAGTGCAGTGCGAAGAAGTGCATAATGCAGCAGCGAAAACAATGGCCAAAACGAAAGCTGATTCCTGGGGAAAGTTTCCTGATGTGCTGGAGTTGAAGTATCAGACGGTCAACAAGGCATTCTGGCAGACCATCCGTCGTCTCCGAGATGGAAAGAAAGGCAGTCTAAAAGTCCTGAAGGACAAATCCAGACACCCTCTTACCGAGGATAAGGACATTTCTCGCCAATGGCCAGGACTCCCTGTGTTCAGGTCGATCTTCATTCGAATGCTCGCTTCTGAACATGAGTCGTGGGCTGAACTGAAACCTTTAATCCGGGATACAAGCCCTGAACTGAGCTCGTTGAGACGAATCGACGTGGTCCGTAGCACAGATATCTCAAAAAGCCTTCATGTACTGCTGCTGCTTCTTCAGAGAAACCATAGCCACGATGGTCTGGGCATATGCTGCAGATGCTTTTAGAAAGCAAAGCGAAACAGCTATTTCTTTCTCGATCGGCCGAAGAGCTTTTAGGGGCAAAAATAGCTTGAGGCAAGTCATGGAATTAGTCTGTTCGAGACTCGGTCGGCTAATCCTCTGCCGAAGGTCAAATGATGGCTCAGGATCGGGAACGTTCATAGTCACTATTTGACGTATCTGTCTACTCGACCAGATTGAATAAGCGGTCATCGAAAGTCACTGACTACCTATAGTCTTGATTCAGTACATTGCACTGCATTATTTGCCATAATATTTTACTTCGATTGTTGTACACCATGATAATAAACATCATAGCATAAATAAATAGATTCGCTTCGACTTCGTGCTTTTAACTCTTCAATCAAGAGACCAGTTTTGGAAGATTCTTATTTCAACATTGATACTGAATTGGAAATGAATTTCGGAGCATATTAAATTAGGTCATTTCAAGGAATATCAGCATAAAGCAATTATAACTGCGACGAAACGACAGCCTTCTTTTCTATTCGTCCGGAGTCTCATCCTTACATTTTGGCGCGATTAGAGCGGTGATGCCGTTGCGAAAGGCAGTTTCAGCTCCCTGGGGCTTTATCACTAATGGCCCTATGATCGAGAGCCGGTCTGATCGTGCATCGGCCTCGTAATATTTTGTAATTCCTGACGTTCACCTGGGGATTAAAAGAATTAGTGAGTTATTAAATGAATTAGCACTTGATAATCAGAATTTATCAGCTAAAATTACGAATCTGAACAGAATGAAAATTACTTCTAGCGGTCTGGCATGAAACTCTTCGAACGAATTTGACTCTGGAATTCGCCAGGTCCCGTTTCAATTTCCAAAAACTAATCAGTAAATGACAAGGTTCCAAAATCGTATGTCTAACAGTTCTATATACAGCGCTTATCCACTGGCATTTCATAAAACATGGTAGATTGCGTATCTGTTAGGTAAGCGATCGAAACCTTCTCACTAATGATCTAATACTTCAGAGTTATTTCGGGCTTAATGTCTAGCGTTGCAACTGGTTGGCATTATTCTTGATACTGATCAACAATAATAACTGTTATGTTTACATTAAAATAAACATATTCTATGGCTTAGTTTCCTCAGCTGGTGCGAAAAATGTATCTATTACGATCTTCATAGCTGCCACCGGGAAAGTGGGCTGTCTTTTCCATTTTAACTCTAGGATCCTCAAAATTTTTCATGTCTCTGTTTAATGTAAAGTTTTTTTTTGTGACGCTAGTGGTAATAAAGTTAAGCGTATTGTCTGGTAGAAACTTAGCAGTTGTTGACAATCGTTTACCCGGATCACGGAATAGCCGCTGATGGAATGAGACAAAAAATTTACTCCTAAAATTTCCCTTCTTAAGTCTGAAGTCTTTAGCAGCGAAAACCACTGACTGATCATAGGGAGTCAACAATTAATAATATTCTAAACAAGATGTAATACGAAGTTCTTCATTAAGTGTAAATTTCAGATATCTGGGAGTTGATTTTGCCATTGCTAACAACGTAAGATTTCTCACTGAAAATCAGCTGACGATATATTTATATTTCGCAACGCTAGATTAGAACCCTCTTTTTAACACGACAAATGGCTATCATTATAGCAGGGGCTATTACGTCGTTGACATGAATAAACGCGTCTGTCATCTGTATTTCATAACTCAACATGGACCGTTCAAGCCATGTTTATGAAAGTGAAAAGAGGTATAAAATGTTTCATTCTTAGAAGGACCAGATAAATATCATGGTCTGATTCAATAGACCAAACCTGAAAAGCGGACATTATAAATTGTCAACAGGCATATTTTGAATTGATCAACATTCTATGTAACTTTCAACTGGCTTTTACAAAGTTTGCGTATTCATGATTTAGCCTAAAATATCTTCCGTGTGAAATCCTATCTTCCACACTTTACGTCCTCCAAGATTCTAAATGGGGTTGTCGTAACTATGCACATGTACTGTTCTTTCTGACATGGATCTTCATCTTCTATACGTGGATGACTTGAGCCCATAATCGGTGACAACCAATGAAACATCTTGCATCAGATGCTTGATCAGGACCGTTCCTACATAAGGGAAGATGAGCTGATATCATGTAGAATTAAGACAGAAAATACCAAGATTCATATCTACTGTTCAGATGATACATATCCGGTATATTCGCAAAAGAGTAACAGCGAAGGACATAATACGTCTGATGATCGAAGGTATGTTGTATCTCGCTGCCTATTTTCTAGCCTAGAATGGAAATTTCCGGTGTACTGATAGAACTCACCGACATCTGCGAATACCCGTTTCCTATCATCATAATTTCAGTGATGAAATAACCTATAGCAATCACATTCATCGGCAGCCATAATGGCATAATGGCATATGACCCAACAGTCACTATGTACGTCACAGAAAAGAAGTTTATGTCGCATCGATCATCGCAGTAAGTTTGATAAACTGCTGTCTCAAAGAAAAACAAAGGACATTCAGTGACACTGCAGAGACGAAATCAAGTAACAAGGAACAACTAGAGCATCCTGGACTTCCTTTCAAGCATGCATGGCTAAGAGTGACAGATCGTCTACATCCGCTTAACCGAATCTTAGAGTCGTCCAACCTGTACAGTGCTCTACATTTAAGAAACTACAGCAACGTTCTGTGGAACACGTTAACACGTTAAGCGCTTCCGCTGCAGGGGCCAATTTCTGACGAAAGTCAATCTACTTCGC